GGAAACATCTAGTGAGACTGGGGAAATTCATGTCAAACAGCCGCACCATCAGCACTGGCACCCCCCAAGGATGTGTTCTCTCCCCACTGCTCTTCTTACTCTACACCAACAACTGCACCTCTACTGACCCCTCTGTCAAGCTCCTGCAGTTCACAGATGACACTACAGTCATCGGCCTCATCCATGATGGTGGCGAGTCTGCTTATAGAAGCAAGGTTGAGCATCTGGCTGTCTGGTGCAGTTATAACAACCTGGAGCTGAACACGCTCAAAACAGTGGAGATGATCGTGGACTTCAGGAGAAACCCCCCCCTCACCATCATGAACAGCACTGTAGCAACAGTGGAGTCATTCAGGTTCCTGGGCACCACCATCTCTCAGGACCTGAAGTGGGACAATCACATCGACTCCATTGTTAAAAAGGCCTAACAGAGATTGTACTTCCTTCACCAGCTGAGGAAGTTCAACTTGCCACAGGAGCTGCTGAAAGGATTATTGGTGATCCCCTGCCCACCCTTCAAGAACTGTCTATATTAAGAGTGAGGAAAAGGGCTAAGAAAATTACTCTGGATCACTCACATCCAAGACATCTCCTTTTTGAACTCTTACCGTCTGACCGGCGCTACAGAGCACTGAACACCAGGACTGCCAGGCACAAGAAAAGTTTCTTCCTCCAGGTAATCTACCTCATGAACAGTTAAATGAAATGTTCTCCCCTACTGTTCAATAAAAAGATGTGCAATACCACATTTGTTTACTTAATACTACCCTACATCTATATGTGTGTGTGTGTGTGTGTGTGTGTGTGTGTGTTTCACATATTTTTATTATTATCTGTGTGTTGTTGTTGTTGTCTCTGTGTACTGGAAGCTTCTGTTACCAGATTAAATTCCTTGTATGTGCAAACATACTGTACTTGGCAACAAAGCTCTTTCTGATTCTGATTCTGAACAATTGAAGTGAGTACTCTAAAAGTCTCATATATGACTGGCATTTTATTTTAAACTGTTAATTATTTTAAATAACAAATTAATTAATGCTTATTAACATTAAATAAATGTTTATTGTGCAGAAGCATAACACATGTTATGAAACTTTGTGCAAAAAATAACTGTCACTGTGTATTTACACATTTGTGTAAATATTTACGTTTTTTTTTTTTTTTAGTTAGTTAGTTTAGTCTGTACACTTCACTAATTGCCTCATCAATTATACATTAATAATAATAATATAATAATAATAATAATTATTATTATTATTATTATTAGTATTAGTAGTAGAAGTAGTAGTAGTAGTAGTATTTAATCCTCATTTAGCCAAATGCTAAACTTTAAGTCTTTACTTTTCTCTATTGGCCTAATAAAGTAATTATTATTATTATTTGTTCTGGTGTCTTCACCAATTTTCACTGCTTCTGCAGTCACTTATTGGGTGAGGGCAGTCGTGGCCTAATGGTTAGAGAATCAGACTTGTAACCCGAAGGTTGCGGGTTTGAGTCTCAGGTCCGGCAGGGATTGTCGGTGGGGGGAGTGAATAACCAGCGCTCTCTTCCACCCTCAATACCACGACTGAGGTGAGACCCTTGAGGAAGGCACCGATCCCCCAACTGCTCCCCAGGCGCAGCAGCAATATGGCTGCCCACTGCCTCGGTGTGTGTGTGTTCACTACTGTGTGTGTGCACCTGGATGGGTTAAATGTTAAATTAGTATGGGTCATGATACTTGGCCACACATCACTTCACTATCACAACCAATGTAGTGATGCAGACATCCTCTCAGATCTGACCTGAAATCAGTGAATAACCTTCAATAGGTCTGTCTGTCTCATCCCTTTTCAGTTTGTGTTGGTCTCAGTTTATTGTCCCTTGTTTACTTGTGCATATAGAAGCAAGTCTTTGTGAATAGACGAGCTGTGCTGATGTTCTTTCTTACACATACACGCACACACACCCTATGGGGTTATCAGCAAGTAGTTTGCCTCGCCAAACGTTCATTATGTCCCCAGATAGTGGCATTGGCAACTTGTCACCATCATTGATTTCTCTTAAACTGCAATTTACATGGATATTTGTGGGTGTCCTCCGGGCAACCAGTGTCCCCACAGACCACCCAACACCCTATCCTATCCATCCATCCAGACACACACACACACACACACACACAGGTACCCATGCAAACACACTTTTTCCCTATAGCCCTCATGGAAATGTTCCAAGCGCACAAAGGAATCTAAAAGTGACTTTTCTGTCAGCAAATATGCTGTGTTTTCAAATGTACTTCCATTCACTCTCCATTTTCTTTCCTGCAGTAAATGTCACCAAGTAGTCACACTGCTGGTATTTTAGACGAAGTCTAATGACATTTGACAGGGGGAAAAAAATCGCCTTTTGTTTTGTTAGCAAAATGTCAACATCAATGCATATATGTCTACGATTATTTCAGTTTAGAAATCTGTCGATCAGCAGATTGGAGAGGTATTTGCTTTAGGGGAAGAGTAGGGTTGCTTCAGAACGTGTTTCCAAAGCTGCACTTATCTTAAAGTTATCTTCTGAGGAAATATTTTGCTCCTCTTAGTGGTGTGAACATGGATCAGCCCTTTTGCACCTTCCTCATAATACTACCTAATTTTGAATATGATTATCAACATTTTTAATTTCATGAAATTCTGAAAAAAAAACATCAAATTCAAAGTTAATCACATCAATATTTATTGAAAAAAGCTTGTATAAGATATTAGAAGAAATAAAAGATATTTCAAAGACAATGTGTGATTGTTGTAGGCTAAATAGTTTGACAAGTCATTATATTATTTGTTCTATTTACATATATCAAATGTTTTAACATCCATTTTGCAGTGAAGTTTGTCAGACTGTCAGAGATAAACTTAGGAGTAAACTTTAAAAATTTAACATTACTAGTACAGTAAAACAAGCATTTTTTAAAGAGTTTCACCTGGGCCCTGAAAGCAACTTCTGCCAGTTAAATGTCAGAAATGTCCAAGTAACCTCATGACAATTCTCAGACAACTGGACTGTAGGATCAATTTGACAAGTGGTGGGGACATGTTAAGGCATGGCGCTTTGAAAGGTAGCTTAATGCTAACTATATTTTCTGGGTCCGTTTTATATAAGTTTATATGTTATAACAATTGATACACACCTTGCTCTACTATATAATCAATCAATAAAAATAATCCAATAAAACAAAGCAACTGCAGCAAAAAAAAAAATAAGTTAAATAATCAATGGTTTCATTTAATGTGATCAGTTACCACAGACAATCATTTCTGCTTGTTCCTTAGTTTGTAAATACAACGAAAATGTGTGCCTACAGTAATGCATTTAATTGTAGTCCATTGTGCAGGGCATTCCACTAGAATACATGTTAAAATACACACTGTTTTGAAAGTATAACCACAAACCTGTATGTTTTAATGTAAGACTAGTAATAGAACCACATACTAACCTTTATGTTCAAAGTTAAGTTGCTCCAGTAAGACTAAACTTGGTGATCTTTGCAAGATATGTGCATCACACAACAAAAGGATGTAAAATATTATATATATATATATATATATATATATTCTTAATACTCTTTGCATATAAAAGACCACCCACAGGAAGTTCAACCACTCAGAACAGAAGTCCTGAAGCTAAATGGCCAATTTAAACATTTTAAACATACAAGTGTTCATTTTTTTCATCCAAAGATGAACATTTGCTGAACTCACCCTCAGGCCTTTCAAGATGTATCTTTTGCAGTGAATGGGTGCCGTCAGAATGAGAGTTCAAGCAGCTGATAAAAACCACAATAATCCACACCACTCCAGTCCATCAGTTAATAAGTGAAAAGAAACATGTCATCATTAATGCATTTGAATTTAAAACTGTTGCTTCTGGACAAAATATAAGTTCATGATCCGTAATAACACTTCCTACAGTTAAAAAGTCCATCCCCTGTTGGGATGCACATCAAAATATACCAACACATTTGTTTGGAACTGTTTTTGCTTGTAAATGGTGTTTGATATGTGCATATTTCTCTCCTAATTCAGGTGAGATGACCTTTTCGCTAGAGAAAGCAACATTGTGAACAGAGGAGTCATATTTTTCCCACAAGCAGTGTTAAAAAACACAAAAAATAAAAATCCAACATCTTAATGATGGATTTGTTTCTTACAAAAATGTTTCTCACTTCACAAGACATTCATTGATGGACTGGAGTGGTGTAGATTATTTATGGATTATTGTGATGTTTTTCTCAGCTGTTTAGACTCGAATTCTGACGGCACCCATTCACTGCAGAGGATCCATTGGTGAGACAGTGATGTAACGCTACATTTCTCCAAATCTGTTCGGATTAAGAAAAAAAATTCATCACATCCTGGATGGTCTGAGTCAATTTTAACCATATTTTCATTTTTTTGGGTGAACTTTTCCTTTAACAAAAGAAGAAGAAGGCGGCTTATAAATCGTATTAAATTGCCAGTATTTTTATTTTTTTTACTGCTAATTGACAACAATAGGTCACAGCCATCCTGGGGACCACAACATGAAAAAGCTAGATTTTTACAGTGCCACTTTAAAATAACTTTAATGAAAATATTTACATTATCGCATTATTTAATGATTTGTATATTAATCATGAAATTAGACGAATATTCATGCTGCTGGATAACATGACTCATCATGTTGACACAAACTTATCCATCCATCCCATGCTGTAGTTATTTAAAGCAAAATTGAGAAATTCTCACATTTAGGCTAATCATATAATTTCTAATTAAAACATTTGTATTTTTATTGGCTAAACAGAAACATTTTCACTAATGTTCTCAAACTTTTGAGCCTCACGTTATGCTGTATATCTGCAACTTTTGCTGTCCCAGCCACATCTCTCCTCCTGTCTGTCCTTTCATCCGCGCGCATCAGTGCCATCACTCTTTCGGAGATGAAGGCTCGCACGTCCGCTTGGGATGGGATGGGGGTGTGTCATCGGTCGTGATGTCAGAGCGCAAGGACTGTCATGATTGGATCTAATTAGAATCTGCGGCAGCAAATAGACACTCGTCCTGCATGATTGGATTCAAAGTGGCTGGTGCGAAAAAGCGCAGAGAGGCGCAGGAGCTCCAGACGCGCTCTCCAGACGCGGCAGGAGGACGCGGGGGTCCGCTGAGCTGCAAATACGGTCAGACAGGCGAGCAGCACTTTGCTTGTTATCGAGAGCTTATTAGAAGAGTGGGAGGCGGAATAAGACGCAGCTGATATTCCCGGAGCGGTTCGCGTGCGCAACTGCAGCACAGCAACTTCAGAAACACCAAGCAGAACAAGTTCTCCAAAATCTGAGCACAATGGCATCGGTCCCCAGCAGCCAAGTCAAATGCAAGTTCAAGAGGAGGAGGAGGAGAAGGTCCAAGCGAAAAGGTAAAGTTTCTTTCAGTCATAATTCGTTATCTAAATAAACGTTTTCCCTCATAAAGCCGAGGTGTCGCGCACACTGGCTGGAATACGCAGCAGTAAGCAGCGCTCATCTCAGCGCAACTGCGCAGTCTGGATGTCTGTACATGTGTTTGTGTTTGACAGAATCCTTCCTCTGTCAAGTTTGTGTAAACGCATGACAGCTCGGCTCAGATGCGCACTGATGCACGCTCGCAAGAGGAAAGACTCGCTCGCGCCGTACTGATATCTGTCCTTGTCGTAACCTCAAATATAAGATTTGACCTCATTTACATCCTGCGATTGTATTATTATACTGGCTCTCCTCACCTTGCTGCGCATTTATAGGACTTTTGTAGTTTTAGAGAATTTAAATAAACTATAACTATGACTAGGCACAGTAAAAACTGATGTGTGGGGTTGCTATACCTTAAGGAGTTATTTCTACCCAGTCTGACCTTTTAAAATGACTTTTGGTTTCTGGAATCTAATGTAGACAAATTAAATCAAATCATAAATGTAGATGTTACAATATTAGGTTATCTGGAAATAAATAAATAAATAAATATAAATTAAAAACACCCTACAGTATGTGTATAATAACTTGTATTACATGTATAATAACTCAATGTCATAATGTCTTTATGGCTGTAACATATTCTTTATTTTCATCCATATCATTTTTACTCAATTGGCCAAAAACCTTTAAATAATTTTTTTCTTCATTATTAATTAAATTCAAAGAGTTATGAACTTCACAGCAGGTTATATGTTTGGCAGCACTGATTGATTTCATTTGACCTGAAATTGTGTCCAGAAATTAAACTAAAAATGCATTTTCAGGTGTGTTGAAATTGTTTACATTGTATATAATCATAGCTACACGTTTGGCACATCAGATATTAAACTGCTACAGTACAAAATATGAGTAAATAAAATGAATTGTGACAAAAGGATATATATATATATATATATATATATTCACAGTTATAGTACACACCTTAAACTGTTTTGTGAGATAAGCATAAATGCAATTTATGCAGTAATGTCTACAATTATCATTAATATTCCTGAATGAACTTGCCAACATGAGTTTACATGACTACAGGAAAGTCATTTTCAAAGTTCAGATGGAGTAGAAATAGCTCCTTAAAGGAGAAACGGCACACAAAAACAAACAAACTCATTTTAATCTAACTCACCTGCTTTTATTTAGTAAAAATACAAACTAACATGGCCGAATCCACCTAATTAGTTTACTCCAACAAGAGTTATTTTCATGGTCCGATCATATAGAAATAGTTCCTTAAGGTAATCGATTGGCGCTCCTTGGATTGGATAACTGTTAGTATATTCTTAATAGGTCTAGTATAGTCCAGAAGGTACAAAACTAGTATAGAATATATTGAAGTACTCTAATTTAGCCCATAAAAAATATTTGCATGCATAACATGGCTCTTATTTAAAACAATTTATATATATTTTTAAAAACAGTTTTTTTTAAAACAATAATTAAAAAAAAAAATGTATTATTTTTATTAATAATAATAATAATTTAAATCTGTGTTTTTTTTTAGATTGATATTATATGATTTATTTATTTGTAGAAGCAGGTATGTTTAGGGAAATTAGTTGCACTAGCTGTATTTCCATTATCAACTCTGAAATTTCATCACAATGTAATGAGAACAACGCAGTGTAATGTGATTGAATGACAGCGGGCACGCTTGCTTCTCATCTTACTTTGGTGGCTGGTAATAAATGGAGGTGTGTGATGGTGGTGAGGTTCAGAAACACCTCTGCCTCTGCTGTGACTTCTTTGCGTGGTACGTTTCACCCCGTTACTGCTTATCGTGTGACCCGAGAGCTGCACTGGCCGTGGGCTGATAGTGCGGTTGCTCGCGGTCAGTCTGTCTGTATGCCTTTGCTGGCAAACGGACACAGATTTGCTTGGCGTTTATTAACATCTGCATTGCATGCTTTGCCTGAGATCTAGAAATTTGCAAGACTGTCAAACATTTGATCAAGAGTTGTAAATAATTATTATTGTTTAATTTAAATCTGTGAATATGTTACAGTGATTAGGCAATATGAGACTACATTGTCCCTGGTTTTGCTTTCTCGTGGAGTCATTTCATGAAGTATCATTAGCGTTGTGCAATACACACATTCATGTCTGTCGACAACTGCGGTCTGACCTGTAACCCAGAGTATTAATAACCCAAGCAATCATGAGAACGTAGACAATAGTTGCAGTGTAACATCGAAGCAAATATATTTACATAATGGAAACGACAGAATTGGTCACACAGCATTAAGCATTGCATATAAACATTAGAGGAGAGTGTAAGAGTGTGTGTGTATGCGCTTGTGTGTTCGAACGGCTAATTTATCAGCTGAGCTAATGGGAAATAATAGTGCTGGACAGATGAGTAGGAACATGGAAAAACATGCTAGACCGTGTATGTACTGGTCATTTTATTTAGACCGCCAGATTTTCACAATCATCTTTATCTTTTTCATCATCATTATAATAAAAGATTTTCATTTCCACTGGGACGTAATACTTTACTCGGGGGAATTCAGACACAATTAATCACATAAAACCAGATAACGTCAGCAGATTGTTTTAACTTCTCCCATCTAATCTTTCATAATGGAGATGAAAACATAATACAGTGTCTCGTTCTAATAAACACTCATTTTTCTGAAAGCCGAAACAATTCATTTGATTGTCTTCCTGGCAAATGGGCAGCGTTCCGGGATTATATCGACATGGCATTTGACAGTCTAATCCTCAGCAAATGCTTCAGATTATTACAGAACGTCCAGTGCATTAAAACCAATGTGTATTCAAACGCACGTAAGAAGATTTTGCTCCTGATGTGGGTTTTGCGCGCCATTGTAGCGTAGCGGTAATGTTAGCAGAGGTTACTGAGGTAACACACATGCAAACAATAGAGATTAATCCTCAAAACTGGGACAGTTTCTCTTATTGCTATCAAGTATGTACTTTTTTTTTAACCTCATGTACTTGGTACTAAAATTATTTTGAACAAGAATGTGTGTGTTTAGGAATTGCTTAGTTGTTTACTGATAAATTCAAGGTAAACGGGTCAAAAGCGAACCGTATTAGCGCAGCATATGAAAAGTATTAAATTATACCTTTTTGGATGAGTCAATGCATTGCTGTAGAAGAACTACATTTAGTTCTGAACTTGTTAAAGGTTAGTGGTTGCTGAAGTGTGTGACTGCCCCGCTGTGACTAGTGGAGGGGGTCGTTCTGTTAGTTGGCTCCGGTGCGAATTAACCATGGCCCAGTTATTTACCCCCCAAATCTTTAGGGAAATGAGCGTAGTGAGCGTACCCGCCTTTAGAAACAAAAGTACGTTTACTTAATGCTGTTGAATGTGCACTTGTAATGCACTTCAGATCTTAAAAGTATATACTGTATTAAAAAACAAAATGACATGCATAATATTAATGGTGTAAAAGGCCACTTATGTGTACACTTTTTTTATGTTTCTTCAGACCTTTTAAAAGTGCACTTTTGAAGTATATTTTAGATTTTTGTTTTCGTCATGCTTTAAAGAAGTACACTCATACTAACATACTAAAGCACATGTAAAGTACTTGATTATAAAATTAATTGTAGTGTGTTATTCGTTGCTACATTTAAAGTTATTTTAAAATTAAAAAAAATATATATATAAATTAGTTTTGTCAAACGATTAATCGCGATTAATCGCATCCAAAATAAAAGTTTTTGTTCACATAATATATGTGTGTGTACTGTGTATATTTGTTATGTATAAATAAATCCAAACACATGCATGTATATATTTAAGAAAAAATATGTAATGTTTATATATGTGTATATATAATATAAATTATATGAATATTAATATATACATGTACATCTTTTCAAAATACATACTGTATGTGTGTGCTTTTATATATACACAGTATGCACGCATATATTATGTAAACAAAAACATTTATTTTGGATCCGATTAATCGTGATTAATCGTTTGACACCACTAACACACACACCCACACACACACACACATATGGTATATTTGGTATATATGCTATATGTACATTTCATATTTTAGTTTACCATAAATGTTTGAGAGTACATTCTGCAATACGCTGTAAAGCATATTTCAAGACAATAAAACTAATTATAAAATTGTATTTAAATCCTGCATGTGATTTATTCATTTATCCATATGAATTTAAACTATAATACATTTTTATTTAATTGCAAATAACCAGATATTAAGTGTCAGAAAGCAGTTCACTCTTAAGTATATTATTTTAAAGTATATTTTTTGTTATTCATACTCTTTAAATGCATGCAAAAGTGTATGCTTTCAGAAGGATTGTGTGTGACAGAGAACTTGTCTGAAAGCTCAAATGCTGCATTTGGTTTAGTTTATTGAAATGGATAAAATGCTACAGCCTTGTGTTTGTGTCCTATCGTGTATGAATGTATCGGCTGTTACTTTTTGGTATGTCTAACAGTGTGTCCTGATGTGTGTTGATGTTGACCGACATGTGGTCAAATCGGTGCAGTAATTACCACACACATCTCGAGCTCCAGAAGGTCGAGGGCTTGTGGCGATACGGTCAGAGGGCACAGATACGAGAAAGGCCAGCAGAGAGTCAAACGGGTCTCAAATGCTGCACATATTCCCCGTAGGCCAGTTTAGAAAGAATGTAGCCTTTCTCGCTGTCAATCTATTTTTTGTTGAAAATGCTCATTATTTGTCTGATTATTTTATCTGATTTTATATCTTGTTTTCTGATCAAACCGATTAAACTGTATAGAGCAATTAATAAGAACACATTTACAAAGACTTTATTATTATATACAAAATAAATGTTCTCGTCTACTTTAGGCCGATATGATTTGATTGAGAATGAAGATTTAGCTCAGGCATAATCCTGACACCCCAGATCGGTTGTTCCGGAAAAGGAAATG